CATTTTTCTCTACTTTTAGGGGCTTTAACAAAGCTAAAAACCCTACGGAAAGCGGGGCTTAAAATTGCAGGGAGATAAGAGAAAATCGGGACAAGTTGAGCCCTGACACACACGTTCCCTGGTGGATATGTCAGTGGAGGTTGAAATATATGGAGGTAGAAAAAAAGCTATGCATTGTTTTAGAATTTATTGCTAGTTTTAATGCAATTTCTTAAATTGAAAATATACCTTTGATACCCTGAATCTGCAATTGATATCCCATCAAAAACATAGAATGTAAAAAATGCCAAGTCTCGCAACACAATTCTTTCACTGTAAAATGTTGTGAGATCTCAAGTAAAACCAAGTCAGTTTATTTTATTTCTCTCTCTAAAAGCACATATTCAACTATTTGGTTATAAATTGATAGCACCATAATTATAAAATTATGGTGCTATATTTTAAAAGCACTATAATTATAAAAGAATAATCTACCATCTCGATTACTAAGTAAATCTAAACAGTGTCCTTAGAGTTCTTTAATTAGAATAGAATATCATATGGGTGCAATTGCCAAGTCATCATAATTATTACAGAAATAAAGATGACTAATATTGATACTAACAATTTATAACAAAACTGTTGAATAGGTTCTTAAAGAGAGACTAAATAAAATAAACTGACTTGGTTTTACATGAGATCTCACAACTTTTTGTAGTGAAAGAATTATGCTTTTTTTACATTTTATGTTTATGAAGGGATCTCATTTTTTTGTAGGTTATCCTCCTATTTTTTTCTCAGGTAATATATCATTCAAAATAATATTAAAGAAGTTTGACTAGCAAGAATTCATGAACTTTGAATTATCGTATAAAGTCAGATAATATCAAATGGATTAATTCCAGTTTTCTAACGACTTGTGTTTCCGACTTTCGTTTAACCTAAATATCTATTTTAAAAATCTTCAATTCATGATTTTACCATTGTTTATTCAAAATCATGTTTTTGTTAATTTTACACATACAGAGTGAGTTTCCTACGATGTTCTCTATGGGTATCTCGGAAACTACTGGAGATAGAGAGTCGGTTAAATGGGGAAAGAATTGCAGTTTTGTGGGGTCATAAATATGCGCCTTTCAGATTTTTGAAAAAGTTCATGGCTTACTAGATATTTAAAAAAACAAATTTCGGCTATTTTAAAAATTGTCCCTAATTCCATTATAAGCTATTTTAGACAAAAAGTTTTCAGATAAAAGTTTAGATAATCACATCCTTAATGAGATAGTGTCCTCCGTTTTTTTTCTAAAGCCTGTCATTTTTAATATATGACACAAACATATGTTTTTTTAAATGGAAACCATAGTTGGCCATGACTTTGTAAAAAGCGCAATTTTTTAAGCTTTTCAGCGATATAAGCTATAATATGTTTTTTTCGAAAAATTATCGAGTTATATAGCCAATTCTTATCATTTTTAAATAATTTCACTTAGTTAGCCATGGAAACAAGTTTAATCGTCTTTGCTCTCATAAATGTGAAGCTGCCACATCCAAACTTTGTAAATTTAAATAAACAAAAATTGTAAATATGAATTTTTCAAATGAAGAAAAGCGTGTAAGATTATTGGTTCAACTTTTCTTGACCATACATTTTCGAGGATACGTTGACCGGTGAATGTTATGTTTTTTAGAGAACGATTTTCAAGACTTGTTAGAAAAGTTAAATTTAGTTATAACCAATTCTTATATTTCTTGACTAATTTCACTTAGATTGCATGGCATTCTTATTCTGTTATGATTTATAACTTATAAAAAGTCAGAATATATTACTAAACGGTTGAGAGAGATCTCAAAACTTTTTATAGTGAAAGAATTATGCTTTTTTTACATTCTATGTTTATGAAGGGATCTCATTTTTTTGTAGGCTATCCTCCTATTTTTTTCTCAGGTAATATATCATTCAAAATAATATTAAAGAAGTTTGACTAGCAAGAATTCATGATTTGTAAATTAAATTAAACAAAAGTTGTAAATATGACTTTTTCAAATGAAGAATAGCGTGTAGATACTCGCGCACCAATAGAATGGTTCCAACATGCCTGTCATTATGACCCCCAGGGGCGCATATATGGGAGGGGTAATAGGGGGTAATTACCCCTCCCAGAAAGAAATTAATTTGGTATAAAATAAAATTGTTACAAAAAAATTAATAATACAAATTAAAACAGAATATCCAAACCAATCCAAGTAGATTTTTTTCCACAGTTACAATACCTTCCAGCAAAAATTTAATTCAAATTTAGTACTTTTTTGAACCCTCCCAGACTCAATCTCTAGATTCGCTACTGATGAGCCTCCCCCCTATAATAAAGGAAATCAAAATTATTTATATCATAATTATGCAAAATCAGGGATAGAAAAAGGTGGACCAATTGCATGGGCCTCCTCGATCACCATTTTAGCTTTTTTTATGCGGTATGGTTAACAATAAGGTTTACAAAAAAACTTATGAATTAAGAGAGGCACTCGAAGTGGCGATGGCGGTACGAGAGAAGTTTAATTAAGTCGATCGGTCTTTCTGAGAGTAATTTCATAATAAAATAATTCAGTTTTAAAAAGATGCAATTCAAAACAATGTCGGATTTTTTGAACATTTTCTAAAACAAATTAAAGTGTATGTAGGTAGTGATATTATTTTTTTAAGTCTTAGTTTGTGTAATGTAGATTGTAAAGAACCGTTTAATAATATATTCTGACTTTTTATAAGTTATAAATCATAACAGAATAAGAATACCATGTAATCTAAGTGAAATTAGTCAAGAAAGATAAGAATTGGCTATAACTAAATTTAACTTTTCTAACATGTCTTGAAAACCATTCTCTAAAAAACGTAACATTCACCGGTCAACGTACCCTCGAAAATGTATGGTCAAGAAAAGTTGAACCAATAATCCTACACGCTTTCTTCATTTAAAAGATGCATATTTACAATTTTTGTTTATTTTAATTTACAAAGTTTGGATGTGACAACTTCACATTTCTGAGAGCAAAGACGATTAAACTTGTTTCCATGGCTAACTAAGTGAAATTGTTTAAAAATTATAAGAATTGGCTATATTATACCGTATATCGCTGAAAAGCTTGAAAATGGCGCTTTTTATGAAGTCATGGCCAACTATGGTTTCCATTTAAAAAAACATATATTTCTGTCATATGTCAAAAATGACAAGTTTTAGAAAAAATCGGAGAACACAAACTCATTAGGGATATGATTACCTACAACTTTTACCTGAAAACTTTTTTCTAAAATAGCTTATAATGGAATTAGGGACAATTTTTAAAATACCCGACATTTGTTTTTTTCGAAATATCTAGTAAGCCATGAACTTTTTAAAAAATATCAAAGGAGCATATTTATGACCCCACAAAACCGTAATTCTTTCCCCATTTAACCGACTCTCTATCTCCAGTAGTTTCCGAGATACCCATAGAGAACATCGTAGGAAACTCACCCTGTATACTTACGTGGATATATCGGATATAACGCCCCCCCCCCCCCTTTAAGGTTAGCATTAAAAACGATGTCTCCATCATCACGACATGCAATTTTTAAACCTTTTCTATTGCACTTATGAAGCGTTCAATAGATTGGTGTTTTCCGAGGACATGACTTTAGCTATGACATGCGCTAGAGCATTAAAAATTGAACGTTTTGGAATATCATTAATTCATCACAAGTGTGGTGCAGTCCACAATTTCATATTTTAGTTTTGTACAAAATATTGGAAACATTTTACCAATTTTATTTTTACCTTTTCATTTAAATTGGAATATTTAATCACTGGTTAGAAAAATATATCTATTATTGTATTATTATGTCAATACATAATTAAAGAATACTAATCATTATTTTTTTATATGTTATACAAGGAGTACACTTTCATATGGTTCAAAAAGTACTAAGACATTTCAAATTCAAATTTTTTTATTAGACCCAATTAGATTCAGAGATTAATACATATTATTATTAATAAATGTGTGTCTAAAGGGATCGCACCGCGCTTAAAAAAACCACACAAAGTGCCAGAGTGGTGCAATCCCAAAAACAAAATAGAAATAAATTAAATTATCAGAATAAATTAAGTTATAAAAATAAAAATATATTAGATTAAAAAAAAAGTGAAAACGTAATTTTATCAGGGATGAGTGGAGATAAGCAAAGAGGCAGAACGAAACAGTGTAAACTCTGGAACAGCAACCAATGATGTGCATATCAGAAGAACAAACACCTCACAAATCAGTCAAAGAAATTATAATTTATGCAAATTTAGTAAATTTGCATAAATTATAATTTTTTTTTATAATCTGTAAAGGATTGAAATTTAAAGTTATTAGAAATATTATTCTACAAATGTGGTGCTATGAAACGAATTTAAAAAAGATTTTTGGAAGTTAGCTGGTCAGTGTTGGGGAATTTTAAAATAATGCACTTGCCTAGTCGAATGAGCATGGTCAACGTAGTGAAATAATGAAGACAAATAGGGAGGCTGTTTTGTAGTTAAAATTCGATAAATGAATGTTGTTCAGACGAATTGTTAAATGCGGCAACGTTGCCTGTATCGAAGAAAGACAGTTGAAGGCAGTCTCGCCTCAGCCGCCGATAGAAATGTTACTCGTTGCAATAAATCATTTAAAATTATACAGTCCACAGTTTTTTAACATCAAGAAACCCCAACAGAATTGGTCCTCTCGCGGATTGCATCCAGGGCAAGAAGGTAGGAGCTGAAATTACTTGAAAATTGAGAAAAAGGCTGATCAAGGTCACTAGTTTCCAAGCGGCATCTCAACATTTCACTCCGCCAGTTGGCGTAGCACGGACATCGGCGAATCGTCAAAGGGAGCTCAAGCGTGGAAGAAATATATTTGCGCCAGTGGACAAGTAAGGTCGTATCCTTTTTAATCATTTATTTTCACCTTATCCTTATCTGTCCTTTGAACTTAAATTGCTTTTTTGCATCAGCAACATGTCTGATTTAATTGAATTTAAACAGAAGAGGAAAATTGCAAAAGGAAAATTAACCAGATTAAATAATTTTATTAGTAATTTAGATGAAAATAATATCGATGAGTCGGAGTTAAATAATTTACAAACGCGGTTAGACAAAATTGAACCGGTATTGGAAGAATACGAAGAGATTCAAACAAATATTGAATTAATAGAACCGTCGGACACAGATGATAATGATAGGCGCGATTTCGAAAATACATATTTTACCTTAATAGGTAGAATAAAATGTCTGTTAAATACGAATGCACGTGGCTCGGTTGCTATGCAAGATACTGGTTCGAATGCGAGTGCGTCTAGTTCTCATTCAGGTAGACATACTAGACCTGGTAGTTCGGTTAAGTTACCACCGATAAAGTTACCTGTCTTTGATGGTGAGTATGCCAATTGGTTAGATTTTAAGGAAATGTTTAAGGCTTTAGTTGACAGAGACGAATCATTAAATAAAATTCAAAAGTTTTATTACTTGAGAAATTCTCTAACAGATTCAGTTAAAGATAGGATTAAATCTATTGAACTTACCGAAGAAAATTATGAGGTTGTTTGGAACATTTTAAACGAGCGTTATGAGAGTAAACAGTTAACAGTTTACAACCACATAAATGCCATATTTGAATCTCCTAAATTAGAAAAAGAATCTTCGGTAGGTTTAAGAGATTTGCATGACAATGTCACTAAACATTTACGGGCGTTAAAGAGTCTGGGTGAATACGTAGAGCATTGGGATAGGCTTATTATTTATATAATAGCGAACAAGTTTGATCCTACAACAAAGCGCGATTGGGAAACGTACACCCCGGAGGGGGAGTTAGCGACTCTAAAAGATTTAGAAAAGTTTTTGAAGTTTAAATGCCAAGTTTTGGAAAAATTAACAATGAATAACGCGAATTTAGCCGTAGAAAAAAAGAAGAATTTTAATCAGGGGAAGCTACGTACTAGTTCTAGTTATGTAGCCACTCAAGAGTCAAACAATAGGTTATCTTGCTATTATTGTAATGGCGGACATACGATTTTTAAATGTTCTGATTTTTTAAGATTTGAGCCGGAAAAAAGAATGTCAGAAGTTAAGAGATTGAAATTGTGTTTAAACTGTTTTAAACCAACACATACTGCGTGGCAATGTAAAATGTCAAGGTGTTTCAAATGTCATAAACCGCATAACACTTTGTTACATGACAGAAATTATGAAGCGCAAAATATCTCGGCGACCGTTGGTGCAAATATAGCGAACCCTACACTTCGGAGTATAAGCGGCGAAACCAACGTTGCCAGTGGAGCTGAGGAGCGGCACGTAGTTCAGGAAAAAGGCCAAGAAACTATTTCTTTATTAAATTCGGATAAAATATATGATAATAATAAATTTATGTATGTAGAAAGCCACGCTCAAAGGGTATTAGCTACGGCGATCGTTTTCGTAAAATCAGGAGAGAATAAATGGGTAAAATGTCGCGCATTACTTGACGGTGCGTCACAAAGCAATATCATGACATGTAATTTAAGCAATAAATTAATGCTAAAATGTTCAGAGACTACTCACGTATTGAGGGGTATCGGAAATGCATCTACCTTGATAAATGATCAAGCGAATATCACGATTAAATCCCAATACGGCAATTTTACTAAGGATTTGCGCTGTCTAGTTTTACCAAAAATTACAGAAAATTTGCCGACTTACTCGTTTGATAAAAATTTAATTCAAATTCCGAAATATGTTAAAAGCCTAGCAGATCCTGAATTTAATATTAGTTCAGAAATAGACCTTTTATTGGGATCGGAAATATTTTGGATATCATTATTAACTGGTAAAATATCTTTGGGTAAAAACGGACCGGTACTTCAAAATACTGTATTTGGGTACGTACTTGGGGGCAACCTACAAATTGGTTCACCTTGGAATATTGGAAATAATATGTCCACGACTTGTCTTGTACGTAACCATTTGAATAATACCAAAGACGAATGTAATGATGCGTTGGTAAGATTTTGGAATATAGAGGAGGTAACAACTGATAAATCAAATCTAAGTATTGAGGAAAAAATATGTGAAGAGCATTTCAAGAAAACGACGACAAGAGATGATCTTGGAAGATTTGTAGTAGATTTACCGTTCAATGAACAGTTGGTAAACTTGGGAAATTCCTATGACAATGCATTACATCGTTTCCAGTTGCTTGAGAAGCGATTAGGAAAAAATCCACAACTGAAGCGTCAGTATTGTGAATTTATGTCTGAATTGGAAGAAATGAAACATATGTCTGAGGTACCTGATCTAGAGAAGGTTAGTTACGTTGAAGGTTACTTTATGCCACATCACAGTGTTATAAAAGAGGATAGCCTCACCACGAAATGTAGAGTTGTTTTTGACTCTTCAGCAAAAACGAGTTCCGGTCTCTCTCTAAACGATGTCCAGAGAGTTGGACCTAATTTACAACAAGATGTTTTCTCAATTTTAGTGAGATTTAGGAGATATAAATACGTGATGACAGGTGATGTGTCAAAGATGTTTCGACAAATTTTGGTGAATGATAAATATCGGAAATATCAAAGAATTATATGGCGTCCAGATCCTTTAGAGATTCTAAAGATCTTTGAGATAAATAGGTTAGTTTTTGGAAACGCTTCCTCACCATATATCGCCGTAAGATGTTTATTTCAACTAGCGTTTGAAAATGAGGAAAAATATCCAGAGGCATGTGAAAGAATTAAGAATGACATGTATATGGACGACTTATTGACTGGTTCAGATTCCAGCAATGAATTACTAAGTATGCAAAGGGATATTTCAAGTATATTGGCTAGTGCAGGATTTACGTTAAGAAAATGGCTCACAAATGATCATGGTCTCCTAAAAAGGTTTGAAGTGACAAAGGAAATAGAAATAAGTATCGTGAGTATAGGTGAGAATGAACAAAATAAAACATTAGGGGTGTACTGGAATTCCAGTCAGGATTTGTTCCAGTACAAAATAAGTGACTTTGACAATTCCCAGGGACGAGTTACGAAACGGCGTATTCTTTCAACTACTTGTCAGATCTTCGATCCCTTGGGATTGCTAGGCCCTATAATAATAGTAGCGAAACTTATTATACAAGACCTTTGGAAATTGAAACTAGATTGGGACGAAGACGTTCCACCAAATTTAAGACAGAAATGGTTAAATTTTCAAACTGAATTACCAGAAATAAACAGGATTGAAGTTCCTCGTAGAGTTGTGTTCACAGAAAGTATGCAAATAGAGGTTCATGGATTTTGTGATGCCTCAGAAAAGGCTTACGGAGCATGCATATATTTAAGGTGCGTGTTTAATTCTGGACGAATAATATCAAATTTAGTTTGCGGCAAGTCAAGGGTAGCGCCTATAAAGCAAGTCAGCCTACCGCGCCTTGAATTATGCAGTGCATTATTGTTAGCCAACCTAGCAAAAAGAGTTGTATCAGACATGAAGATACAGCACTTGAAGCAATACTATTGGTCAGACTCGATGATAGCATTGGGGTGGATAAGAAACCCCTCTAAGAGATGGAAAACCTTTGTTGCCAACCGAGTCAGCGAGATACAGACTCTAACTAATATTGAATCGTGGTCCCATGTAAAATCAGAGGAAAATCCTGCGGACTTACTATCCCGTGGAGTAAGTATTATTTACCTGATCGATTGCGAACTTTGGTGGCACGGTCCAAAATGGTTAGAACAAGACACTAGTAGTTGGAACTCTTCGGTAAAAATCGACGTTAATGATCTTCCAGAAGAAAAACTTGTAACTTGTATGACGATCATTAAAAGGGACAATATAATTATGAATTTGATATTAAAATGCTCATCTCTACAGAAGCTCCAGAGAGTAACCGCTTATGTATTAAGATTTATTAGCAATCTGAGAACAAAAGAAAAAACACTCAGGAATTTTGAAAATTTAACTCCAAGAGAATTAGATAACTCTTTAAATATTCTAATTAAGACAATTCAGGTTCATGTTTACCCGAGAGAATACGAAGAACTACAGAAACAAGGATCTGTAAGTAAAAGGAGTGTACTACTGCCTTTAAATCCGTTTATTAAAAATAATTTAATAAGAGTAGGGGGCAGATTAAGATATTCAAACCTGCCTTTTGATAAAAAATTTCCAGTTATTTTACCAAAATCTAATCATTTAACTACACTAATTTTAGAACATGAACATAAACGATTATTACACTGCGGAGTTCAATCTTTATTATGCTCCATAAGGGAAAGGTATTGGCCTATTTCAGGGAGGAATTCCTGTAAAAAGGTAAAAAATAGTTGCGTTACTTGTTTTAAAGCCAATCCTACGGTTGGTACTTATCTAATGGGTGATCTTCCAGACGTCAGAGTTAACAGTTATTCTCCTTTCATACATACAGGTGTAGACTATGGTGGCCCATTCATTATCAAAGACAGAAAAACGAGAGGTGCGAAATTGTTAAAAGCATATATTTGTTTATTTATTTGTATGAGTACACGTGCGGTGCATCTCGAACTAGTATCTGAATTGACAACTGCTGCATTTTTATCCTGTTTGCAAAGGTTCGTAAGTAGGCGCGGAAAACCGAGTAAAATATTTTCGGACAACGGATTAAATTTTGTTGGAGCCAACAAAGAACTCTCCAAAATATCAGATTTTTTAAAGGAAAATGAAACGGTGATCGTAAATCATTTAGCTAATGACGGCATCTCTTGGCGGTTTATACCCCCTAGATCTCCACATTTTGGAGGTATATGGGAAGCGGGAATTAAAAGCACAAAGCATCATATTAAAAGGCTTTTAAAACACCCTCTAACTTACGAGGATTTTTACACGTTGCTGGTGCGCATTGAAGGCATTTTAAACTCCCGCCCACTATGTCCTATCAGCCAAGATCCTGACGACCTAAGCGCATTAACACCTGCACATTTTTTGGTTGGTAAAACGCTGACGGCACTCCCGGAATTTAATGTGACTGATGTCCCAGAGTCCAGATTGGATAGATGGCAGCACATTCAAGCTATTTCACAACATTTTTGGTCTCGTTGGAGTAAAGAATACCTTGGAGAACTACAGACGAGAACAAAATGGAGAACACAATCCCAAATGCATTTAGCACTTGGAGCTTTGGTAATAATTAAAGACGAAAATGCTCCCAGTATGTCCTGGCAAATGGGCAGAATAACCAAGCTTCATCCAGGGAAGGACAACGTAGTTCGCGTTGTGGACATAAAAGTGCCGAATGGTGAAATTACGCGAGCTGTGAACAAGATTTGTATCTTACCTATTAATTAATGTTTTTATTTTTATGGTTATTCTTTTCATGTTCAAATATGTTCGTTTTATACCCAATATTGTATTTGGTTAATTGAGATTTTTGTGATTAATCCATTTGATGTATTACGTTGTTTTACTTCTAGATTTAGAATTCATTTAAGTTAAAGGGATTAATAATTATATTAAATATAAACTTAATTTTGTATTAGTTAAGTTGCTAAAATGTAAAATTTGTTTGAAATACTATGTATTGTCAAGGCGGGCGGGATGTTCAGACGAATTGTTAAATGCGGCAACGTTGCCTGTATCGAAGAAAGACAGTTGAAGGCAGTCTCGCCTCAGCCGCCGATAGAAATGTTACTCGTTGCAATAAATCATTTAAAATTATACAGTCCACAGTTTTTTAACATCAAGAAACCCCAACAAATGTCATCAAATGAAATTGTCGTCTGTTAGTCATGGATAAAATAGATAAATTATTAAGATGTAACGTTATATGATCTCTAAAAGGAATGTTAAAAGAAAAGCGTAGACACGAGTTCTGAAGCATTTGGAACGCTTTATTAGAATAGTGACACTATACGAGAAGATATACTTACTATATTGGAGAGCTCGGAAAATTTGACTGAAGGTAAACTAATTTAAATATACAGAGGAATACCTACATATATTTAGTATTTAGTTAGTTATCATAATCTTTTTTCTCTCGTTATTTTAGACAGTAAATTAGCAATGAAAATTGCTGTTTTGTCAAGAGTTGCACCACTCAGAGGTCGAACACTGAAGAAAGAAAAAACTCGAACCAGCAATTGTAATAGTCGAAACTGTGATATTTTTTTATGGTTGTTTAGTGCCTAGGTGGCCTTGGGCAAACTTTAATAAGAAGGAAGAAGAAAATATAAGGTCATTTATTATTATATCAAACGTAACACTTTATTTAAACAATAATAAAAATGTATGAAATGAAATATAGTGATAGATTAAATTAAACATAAAAGTAAAATACCTTCAACAACAATAAAAGCTTAATTTTTAATTTCAAGACATAGTAAAATTGCTCCAAATATGGTTAAGTTCATTCAATGTCATATAATATTTGTAACAAAAATACTCTCCTATTGAAATCCAAATAATGTTATTGTTAAATGATGTATTGTGTGTCGACAGTGTGGACTTTGATCTTCTCTGCGCTAAGCTTTCGTATTTTGGAGTATCAAAATCAGCAGTGACTTTTTTCAATAATTATTTCAAAGGTCGATATCAGAGGGTTGTCATAGGAAACACTCACTCAGGTTACTTGGAAATTACTAAAGGGGTCCCTCAGGGTAGTGTTTTGGGCCCGCTACTTTATACACTGTATACTGCCGATTTTCATAACTTTATTAAATATTGCTCCATTCTTACTTTTGCGGACGATTCACAAATATATATTTCGTTTAAACCTGAATAAGCTCAAATCACGGCTCTAAATATAGCGAAATAATAAGCTAATACGGCTCTAAATATAAAAAAATATAAATATAAATGAAGACTTATTTTCTATTAAGGAAGTTAGTTATTCTCATTTACTGTCACTCAATAACAATAAATCTGAAGTTATTCTATTTGGCAAAGAGAGAGCGAGTATAGCCAGTGATCCAAATTTTCGTATTAGTATAAATAGTAATATTTTAAAAATAAATACAGTATGCAAAAATTTAGGACTGTTTATCGATAATGATTTACGTTTTTTTACCCATGTTAACAGCTTAGTTAAAACTTGTTACTACATTCTTAAACATTTGTACATGCATAAATTATATTTGGATACTGAGGTAAAATTATAATTAACTGAAAGTCTAATTTTAAGCCGTATTGCATATTGTAATGTTGTTTACTGGCCCGCATTTTCTCAAATAAATAAAAACTCATTACAAAAAATACAAAATTACTGTTGAGATTTGCTTATAATTTAAGAAAATATGATCATGTGTCTGATAAGTTCAGAGAATCTCACTGGTTAACTCTGGATGAAAGATTTCAAGTTCAGATGGCGTGTCTTGTTTTAAAGCGTTAGATAGCTTTGGAATACCACAGTACCTCTGTAAAAAATTGGTAAAAAATGTAGATATCCACAATCGTTTGACTAGACACTCCAATCTTTATAAGATCCTCAGGCACTCGACAGCACAATTTCAACACTCTTTTTCTTATAAAGCGGTTAAAATTTTCAATAGTATTCCTGAAAATTTAAAGACTTGCGATTCTCTGGGGACTTTTAAATCAAAATTTATTAAACATTTAAAAAAAAGGCAGTAAGATACTTAACTTAAAAAATGGATGTAGGTTACACACCTCCTTGTGCTTTCTAATTCTTACCTTGTGTGAATTCACCATACAATTTTAATATATGTTTTTTTGTAATTTTCTGTGCTTGCATGACCTTAGAATTGAAAATTATTGTATATAGATTTAAGTTAGTTTTAATTCTTATTTATATGTATTGTCAATTTATCTAAGACTATAAGTTTAGTTTTCTGTCTGTAGCAAGTCAATAGAATATTTTGGTTTGATGGTTGCGTGGAAGAGCATGGTATATGAACGCCGCCATTTTGTTAAATTTTTTGTTACACTTTTCTTTTGAATATTAATAAAGACACTATTATTATTATTATTATTTATTTATTATTTCTTTCTCAGTTTTAACTGGCTGTTATCCTGTTCTGGCCGGGATAGCTCCGCTTTCCTAGGGCCAGGCAGGTAGTCGATCAAGTAATACTTATTTTGTGAAATATTGATACAGAGGTAAAGAAATACACATAAAGGTAAGTATAAATTAAATTAATCTGCAATTGTTTTTCTTATAATATGAGCAGTGCCTAATATCGCTGTTTTTTGTAGATTTGCCAAGCTGTGTTCTCCTGGAAGGATATCTAAATATTTTGGGAGAGCCTTAGACACTACACCAGTAGCACCAATAACAACAGGTAATATTTTTGTTTGGGTATTCCACATTTTTTAATTTCTATTTCTAGGTCTCGATATTTCACAACTTTTTCCGCTTCTTTTCTGCATACATTTCCATCAGCCGGAACTGCAATATCAATGAGGTAAGTTATATCTGGCATTCTTATTATGATGTCTGGTTTGTTGTTTGGTATCGTCCTGTCTGTGTTAATTGAATAGTCCCAAAGTACCCGTGTTTTTCCATCGGGAGTGTCACATACGGGTGGTGGGTCGTGTTTATACCATTGTTCAGCCGACATGGTTCTTATTGCTTGGTCTTGTGCAGCAACTATCAATGCCTCGGTTTCACCTTTAAGCATTCCAGTTGAGAGCCAGTTCCAGCTATTGCAGCCATCAATATTATCTGACTGTTTTTTTATTTCTCTCTTGTGTTGGCCATGCAAAGGTTTCTTTTCCCAGGATTTAATTAGGTTTTTGTTTAAAATTTCTCTTATGTCGGATCTTCCGACTGTTGTGTTTTCTACATCTTCTGATATTCTGTATAATTCCTGTTGGAATTGCTCAGCTTTCGCTGCAAAGACAAACTCGGCGCTTGATTTCTATCCCAATCAGCTAGCATCTGTTTTAGCGGGTCTCCAGAATCTGATTTTAAATAATTTGCTGTCGCAATTACGCTGCTCTTTAGTAGTGATTCTAGTTGAATTAGTCCTCTCCCTCCTTCTAACCTTGATACGTATAGCCTATCGATATCAGCTGCAGGATGATGTAGGTTAAACTTTCTTAGCAGTTTTCTTGTTTTCCGATCAAGTGCCTGCATTTCATACTTGCTCCAGTTTACTATTCCAAAACTATATCTTAGAACTGGGACTGCAATTGTGTTGACAGTCTCGATTTTAAATTTTGCACATAACTCGTTGTCTAGGGCCGATCTTAAGCGCTTAATATATACTTTTTCAAGTCGTTCTTTTACGGTTCTGTTGTTTGTACCAAGGCATTCCTCAAAACCTAGATATTTGTATGTTTCTGACGCGTCTAAAGATTTAACGCGTTGAAATGTCTCGCTGTTCATATTTTCTGAAGTGGCTAATTTTCCACGATGGAATCTTACTTTTGCGCATTTATTTAACCCAAATTCCATGCATATATCACTGCTAAATGATTTTGTTATTTGGAGCAACCTATCTAAACCTTTATCATCCTTAGCAAAAAGTTTGAGGTCATCCATATATAAAAGATGATGGATCCGTTTATTTTGTCCTGTTATATTATATCCTATACCCGTGCTCTCTAGTTCTTTAGATAACGGGATCATTGCAATACAGAAAAGCAGGGGAGACAGTGAGTCACCTTGATATATTCCTCTATTGATGTTTATTTCTTCTGTTTCAATATAGCCCGCGTTTGTTTTTAAAGAGATCTTTGTTGTCCAGTTTTTCATGGCACTAGTCAAAAATTGAATAATAACATCATTAGCCCCAGCCAGTTGCAACGATTTCCCTATCCAGCTGTGAGGGATCGAATCGTAAGCTTTTTTATAGTCAACCCACGCTATACTTAGATTTTTCTTCCGTCGCTTACAATCTTCAGCAATTATGTTAGATAGTAATACCTGGTCTCTGCACCCCTGAGCATTTCTCCTGCATCCTTTCTGTTCATATGGTAATATTTCCTGTATTTCTAAATGTTTATATAATCTATCAGCTATAATTCCAGTAAGAATTTTATATATGGTGTTTAAACAGGTTATCGGTCGGTAGTTTCTTGGATTTTCTGCGTCACCGCTTTTGAATATTAATGTTGTTCGCCCGACAGTTAACCACTGGGGAATGTTTTCTGGATTATTTAGTATATAGTTGTAATTTCTGGCTAAACATTCGTGAGCTGCTGGTAAGCGTTTTAACCAGAAGTTCGGAATACCATCTGGACCCGATGCCTTCCAGTTATTAGCCTTCTTCAAACGAGCTACAACCTCTTCTTTTGTTATGGGATTCCATTCCATCGGTGTTGTGAGTTTCTCATTTCTTTTTATCCATCTTGCTTTCTCATTGTAGGTTGCATCCGACTCCAAGATT